GAGTGTTCATAAAGCCGTGCCAGGGAACTTGCAATGACCCCAGCCAGTTCCTTTAGGACTCTAGGGTGAAGATCTAGTTGAACAAGACCTTCTCAAATCTCCATCTCCTTTGGGCTCCTTTACCTGAAGAGCCTGCTTGTTCCACTGATCTTTCAGGTCCCCAAATTCTATTGTGGTGAAATCTGAATAGCTGATAGTCTCCATCTTAACAGTGGGCCATAGATGGGAAAGGGGTGACTGCACTGATACTGCTTCTACTGTCGACTCTTCTTCTGAGCTACGAAAGATGAACGTCTTCAGTTCTCCTTTCCAAAAGGGATTGCATTCATATATACTGATATTTTAAGTTTAGCCATTACATTTTATATGTAAATGGTAAGTCACAGAGACAGCACTCTTTACTTTAATTAATGCAGCAGAGCTAATACTATGACTTACGTGAGTATGGATATGCACTGAGAAACTAGATCTTTTGCTGACAATAGTATGCCATTTTCCAAGCAACAGATAGCCACAGACAATCAATCATTCTATAAGATTCAGTCAGCAGTGAGAAGAGTCCACACAAGGAGACCACACAACCACTACACTAGTTAATATCCTTCTCTTTCTTCCAAATTGTCCCTCATTAGTTATACTATACACAGGTGGCAAATATTTGTTTACTGGTTTTTACTTACCTTAGGAATGCAGAGCTATGAAACTGGTCAAAAATGTCATTTAAACAATAAAAGGAGTCTTGTGCCTTTTTAAAAGTATCCTGCTTTTCTTATATAGCTTTAAAGGTTTTGTTCCACAAAACCTTTCACAATTGGGTTGTCACAGCTCAGCTGCCTCACATATATGACTGCTCTTACTATAGTCAGTTCAGATTCCTAACCTGTCTCTGCTTCACTATTTTACATATGCAAACCTATTCATTTCTACATAAAATCAATAACTTTGCATTTTAAAGCAGAAAAAAAAATAGTTTTAGGACATTTTAGACAACCAGCTTTATTGTCCAGAATATAGTAATCCTTGCAATCAACACTCGTAAGGTTAATACCCAGAAAAGATGCTATATATTAGTAAAATACTGTCACTTCTGTAGCCACAACCAAGTATTATTTCATAATTCCCCTAGTTACTGAATCATGTACATAAAGGCAGGAAATGGAAACTAACAGGACTCAACCCACTGATGAACCCCAACAGGTAAAATGTATTTCCTTATCTGTTGTACGTTATCTTGCAAGCACATTTTATCACCTAAAAATGCAGAAAAAAATCTAATTAATTTTTAAAAAGCAGCTAAGGTGAAGGGGAACAATGGGCACCTTGCTTAGTTTAGGTGCTTTGTAAATCTCCTGAGTGTCTTTTGGCATGTTTTATGTGCCTAAATACATATACTTTTGTAACAACGGCCCTTCAATTAGATATTTGATGTTATCTTTGTATTAATTCTCCATAAGTATTGCTAACTGCAAGATCACCAATGAGACAAAACATGGGACTGGGAGAATCTTATTAGCTCAGCTAGACAAAAAAAATCAGTTATAAGTTAACCAAAGACCTTTATTTAAGATCATGAAGATATAGATTTCAAGTCCACAACAATTACTAATGATGTACCATGCTAGAGTTTCATTTCAGTGTAGGCATGTGTCACGCCCAGACACCAGTGCACCCTTGACCTGCAAGCCTGGGTTGGCACGACCGGCTTGGCGCGAGGAGGGATTTATGACCGGACAGGCGGGTGTTAATGGCGAGCAGGAGTCAGATAGTCAGATGATTTAAAGCGTAATGGTTACACAGAAAGTTTATTTTACTTACGCTACTGATGGCTTGCAGCGTAGGCAGAAGCAGTTGATTTCTTAGTTACAGCATGCAGATGTTCTGTTACTTAGCGATTACAGTGGGTTGCAGACTTGCTGAGTACAGGTTTTAAACAGTTTACACAAATTACTACGGCTTTACCGAGAGCTCTTGATGAGAGGGACGTACGAAAGATAAGATAAGACGAAAAAAGCGAGCTGGCAGGAACGGGGTTACACCAGAAGAAAAAAAATAAAACTAACCGGAGGCAGGGAGATATTGTTTGTAACTGATCAGGTTACAAGCTGTGTTTCTTGGGAATGCTCCGAGATCTCCGCTTTGGGCGGAAGTTCTTTCAAAGTTATAGGAAACAGAATAGCCAATTATTTCACGCCTGGCATGAATAATTAACAGGTTGGCACTTGTGCTTTCTTTGTTTGCTCAAGTTTCATAAAAAGGGGGGTTATATTTTTGTTTGGGTGGTACTGGTTCTGTTTGGTCACAGGAGGGCGAGCATAGTACATTATTTAATTTTACAATTCCGTTAAACCCAGCCAATTTGGGTATCTCATTACCATAGGGACGTTATCTTTCGTGCTGGGCTGTCAAAGTCAGTTTCTCTCTCGTATGAGAAGCTCAAATGATTTAAAATGAGGCAGAAACAGGGGTGTGTATATACAGCACTGTTACAAACTAAAAAATAATAGTGTGAGACTACAATTACAGAGTTTGTTGTGTTAGCCTCTGACCTTTTGCCATCTGATCTTTTGCCATCGGCATCTGAAATCAAAGACTTTGATCTTTGACAGCATGAAGATGACAGATTTCAGTTTTGGGTGGTATTTAGAGGAATCAAATTTTTCTGGTCTTCATCTTCTTTCCTTTAAAACATTAAGTCAAAGATACATCAGCATGGGCTACCCTTATTAACCTATTGAGTAGGGGTAACAGATGCTTTCAAAATTTTGGCATTATATGCTTTCACTGATGTAGAACAAAACCATACAGTATTAAGGTAAAATACAATATATATGAAATACATTAAAGCATTCATATTGACCATGTGATCACCATACTGCCTTACTCTGAGTTGGTTGTGTGCACCCAGAATCAAATCTGCTCATTTCAGTGACCAAGTGACACTCCTCCTGCTCCTTTCTCCAGTCAGCCCTGTTCCAGCGATGGGAAGCAGAGCTGGATTCTACTTGCGTTTATGCATTGTCACAGACCTGCTAGACGAATTCAAACTAATGGAATAAGTTCTGCTCTCATTTGTCCTAGAAGAGATTGCACAGGACTGAGAACTAACCCTAATTATATTTCAAAGCAGTCAAGTGGCAAAGGTCAGAATGTGGTTGGCAGAATCTCTCTAATGTGATGGTTTACGAGCTGAGGGAAAAGAAAAAACACCCACATCTCAGCTCCCCAGTGTCATGCAGCATTGGCAGGGCTGACAGTTTTAAAAATAAATCTTTACATTTATAAACAACAAGCGTGGCCCTCCACAATGCCATTCTAAATGACAGTTGTGTTTTGAAAAGTCCTAATTGAGAAAAAGAAAATAACCCACTTTACAGAGTATAGCAGGAAGGGAAGGAACTCTTCTGATTTACACCTCCTGGATTCTCATGCAGAAACAATCCTCCTGCTTTTGCCTATGAAGTAATCTTATAGAATGAAGACTCCCAAAGGGTTTTTGAATTGCTTCTCTGAAATCTCCTTCTGTGGAAAGGACTCTGGTAAACAAGAAAACAGGCTGATTACTTGGAAAAATTTCAGTGTCAGCTTGATAGACTAAAGGCTGAAAACAGACATCATCTGTGGAGCACGATCAGCTGTGCCACAGTATGTCATGGCACAGATGATCGCACTCCACAGACATCTACAGGCATTGCTGGTTGCCTGAGTTGGGGTGAGTCTGCAAATGGGGAAAAATCTCCACTTGCAGATGTGCCCCAACACCTAGGGGAGCAGTGGAATCCTCTATAGGGGATTTCTCTGCCATATATCTGCAAGTGCAGACAGGGGAAACCCCATAGGAATTCCCCCTCCTGCAGAGACATACCTCATGTTAGTAGAGGAGATATCTGCACTGGGAGGGATCCACTGCAAGGGATCCCTTCCATGCATCTAAGCACAGAGAGAGGAAAGTCCCACAGAAGGTGTCCCCCCCAAGCTTCCAGCCTGTACCCTGTGCTACTATCAGAAATGCACACTAGGCCACATCAGGTTGAAGGCCCAAATTTCCCCTCTTACCAGATGTGCCTCAGAGATCAAGCAATGCATCTGGGTATATAGAAAACCCCAACTTTCCTTGCTTACCCAGACATTTCCCCAGAGATCCCTGGGATACGGCTGGGTAAGCGGGGAAAGCAAGGCTGGTGCTCCCAAGGCTTGAAGGCCCTACAAGCCTGTGGAGCCCCTACTCCTGGTGGCTGAAGACCATGGGTAGCTTTAGGCTGCTGGTGGTCTCCTGCTTATGGCATGAACAAACATAAGAAAGACCCAGCTCAGTTTTAGGTGGCTTAATTTGAGCTGCCTAAACCCAAGTGTGCAACCATTCACCATTTGCTGAGAAGAGGCTCAGGCAGCCAGAGGGGAGTCAGTTGGGAGGGAGTGGCAGGTGAGTCCTCAGGGGGTTGAAGTGGAGGGGGTGGT